AGAGGATCCCTGCTAATTCTCTAGTTTCTTGGGTACAGAAACTAGTTTTGACAAGTTGAATTCTACACCTACCAAAGATGATTTATTTATTATTTCTTAAAGCAATTTATGCAAAATCTATTATATAATTAGAGAAATTGAGTAAAATTATTTATTTTTTGGTTAAATATAAATATGAAAAGATTGTTTCTATGGAAACTAATCTGAATTCTTTGAAAATACTTATTAAATCTAGTCACTGAAGATGATTCCTACTGAGTTAGTCAAGGGTGACACCAATGTCAAAGACTGGAAAATGACAGCAAATTATCTAGTGTTCTGCACAAATATTTTAAAGAATTTATTTTACATGTATTTTTTAAAACATACACATCTTTAAAAATATGGTTCCTCACTTTGTCTTGACATTTTTATTTAAATAGCTGTTAATCTCAATCTCCTTAAATAAAAAGGCTTTGACTGTTTTGAGAATTTTCAGTTTCAGAAACCTTTGAGTATTACTGAAAGTCAGCCGTTTTCATTTTCTGCTGTGGTTCTGCTGCAGGAACCTGCTCAAGTGGCTTGACCTATATTAGGTCACTTAATCCTCACACAGACCTTATGAGGTAGATACTGTTGTCGTGTTCACCTGACAGTTGAGGAGGTTAAGGTACAGAGAGGGGCACTTCTTAGAAGAGGCAGGGTCAGGTGCAGGAATGGCGGGCTAAGAAAGCAGGCAGGGCGTGGTGGATGGGCACAGGGACAGGGACAGGGCAGGAGCTGGGCAGGTCTCTGAGCACCCACCCAGGGAACTCTGCAGAGCTCGGAGGATTAAATGTGTCTTGGAAACATTTGTGAAATCATTTTCCCCTTAAATGATAGCAGAAATTCTCTACTGAGTTAGTTCCTTCTAATTACCCTAAAGTTACTAAAGCTCTTTTTTAGCCCAAACTCCATTCAGCCTCAATACCTGAACTGGAAGAGTAGCTGACTGGGTGCTAGGAGCCCAGGCATGATTTTCTGAGTATTTTAGCTGCCTCTGCCTGGAGCATCTCTTCTGCCCCAGCAGCTACTCTGCTTTAGCTCTTCCCCCTCCTCTCCCACCCCAAAAGCTCTCTGCCCAGGTACTGGACACTTTAGCCAGACCACCCACCCAGAACTTCTCAAAGGCTGAAAACAGCTCCATTCTGCATCCTCTTCCCACACTTACCCCTTAGTCAGGGACATCCAGTGACTCAGCTTTCACTGTCACAATCCACCCCACGGTGGGCTGCTTCCTAGGCCCTAGGTGTGCCCTCGACTTCCCCTCTCCTGGGCCTCAGGCACCTCCAGAGCAGGACAAGAAACTTCCCATCCTTTGTCTTCCCTCTCAGGACAAGGAACTCGGGGCGTAGGGCTGGAGGGGTAGGAGGATGAAGGGGTGGGAGTGCAGAAGCCACTTCCCCGTCCTAGGATAATGTAGACTCAGTACTGTCTGCAGTTGTGCCCCAGCCCAGCCACGTGGGGCACGTGGCCCCAGAAGGAGTGGCCTCACTTTGCTTTCCTGAGCTTTTCCACTCTGGTAGGTTTCTAACGCGATTATTAGGTTTGTCTACTTGTTGAGTCTCTTTAGACTGAAAGATGCTATCTCCCCTCCTCCTTCACACCCCATCATCCATCAACTCCCCTCAACTCCCCTCACATTCACACACCCAGACACAGCACTCAGATTTCTAGCCAGTCCTGGATCTGTGAATGCCTCCTGAGTGATGATATGACTAAAGAGATAAATTGGGCAAATCTCCAGTCTCTGCCTTCAGACTGCTTTGAATTGTGGTGTGGCCTCAGGAGATTTGCTCTGCTTGCTTAAGACTGACCAAAACTGAACATCAGAGAACAATCGGTCCCCAGTTCCCCAGCCGCATGCTAACATGCACTGACTAAAGTAACAGTGAGTTCCAGGTGGGAAAGCTGCAAAAGAGACTCTCTGAGGGGCAGACATTCAGTAAACTCCTCTGGTAAACCAGCCCACATCCTGGTCACAAGTTATCACTAGGAGAGTTTGAAGTTGGAGTGCACTAAGGGTAACTAAGAACAACCAGATGCAAACAAGCCCAGCTCCTCACTAGATAAGCACAAGTTACAGGGCAAAAGGCTGACCACAAGGAAAAGCAAGCTCATGGAACACTGAAACAGCATTCCTTCACTACGTGCTGTCCTGTACAGCACATCGAGACCCCTGTGATGCTGCGTCTTCCTGCACCCATTAGGTGGTTGCACTTTGTCCCATTTTTGATGATGATCACTTGATCATGGTGGTGGCTGCCACGCTCTGCTGTAAAAGTGACCTCTTCCGCTGCTGAAATTAAGAGGATTTGTGGGAAAGTAATTTCAACTATATGTATCTCATTACCTCACCAGATTTTTAAAAAATTTTATTGAAATGTAGTTGATTTACTATGTTGTATTACTTTCTGGTGTACAGCAAAGTGATTCAGTTATATATATATATGTACATATATTCTTTTTATATTCTTTTCTATTATGATTTACTAGAAGATATTGAATATAGTTCCCTGTGCTATAAGTGGGAACTTCTGTTTATCTATTTTGTATCTAGTAGTTAGTATCTGCAAATCCCCTGAACTCCCAGTTTATCCTTCCCACCCCTTCTCCCCCCAGTAACCATAACTTTGTTTTCTTTGTCTGTGAGTCTGTCTCTGTTTTGTAAATAAGTTCATTTATGTCTTTTTTTTTTCAGATTTCACATAAAAGTGATATCTTATGGTATTTTTCTTTCTCTTTCTGGCTTCACTTAGTATGACGTCTCCAGGTCCATCCATGTTGCTGCCAATGGCGTTATTTTATTCACTTTTATGGCTAAGTAGTATTCCATTGCATATATATACCACTTCTTTATCTAGTCATTTGCTGATGGACATTTAGGTTGCTTCCATGTCTTGGCTATTGTACATAGACTTTTAACTTAGGCGTTTATTTGTAAGTATATGGGTAGGGATGTGTTGCATCCTTTTTTATTCAATAGATAATAATCTCTTACTAGAATAATTCTGATGCTCAAATTGTCCTTAATTTTGCTGGTTGGTGCCCTTTCCACTTAATCCTTTTGACATGCCACCATCATTCCTTGAGCACCTTCTTGCTGTTCCATGAATTGTTTGAGGCTCATCTTGTACTTTTCCGGACTTGAACTGTAAGATCATTTCTCAAACAGCCCAGTTTGAGTGGAGAATGGTATGTAGAAGTTAGTTAGGATGTGGTGGGCAGAATGATGACCTGAGATATGACACTTTCCCTTTGTTCTTTTCAGGGTGAAAAAGACAAACGGAGCCCCTGTTCCGAATGAGTCCATTACCCCACAGCTAAGTCACATCATGCTGACAGAATCTCTGAACTGGTAAGGTCTCCGCTGAAAGGCAGACATGGGAAATGGGGGACAAGGTCACACCACCTCTATAGAATTTCTTTTTGTTCCATATTCTTTGGTCCTTTAAATGTCTCTGATTAAAAAGTGCTGAACTGATTGAACCTTATTGATGAGGTAGCAAAAATAAACACGACTGTGGGAATATCATAGAATTTAGGCCACAGAAACCATTCTACTAAGGCCTACCAATGTCTTCCTTAGTGAAGGCATGTAATACTCATTTAAGTAGGTCATATTCATTAATTGTGTCTGGTATGTGATAAATCCATTCATCTAGAGACAACAGTCTGGTTTGGTCAGAAATAAACTGTCTTATATTTTTAAAGTATTCCCTTGGCCCCATCTCATTTTTGCTTCTGGAATTTCTGTTGTGCATAAATTGAAGTCGATGTATCTGTTTCTCAGGAATCACCTTTTCTCTATACACTTTGTGTTTATCTGACTTTCAGGAGAATTTTTAAAAATCTCTTTTATTGTATTATCTTTCTATCTAATGAAATCTACTGTCCAGTGTTTCCATCATACTTTAAAATGTGGTTATCATACTTCTTAACTTTATTAAAATTTTGCATCATCAGAATTTTCCCTTTTCTCTAATGCCTGTTCCAGAAATAAATAAGCAACATTTCCTCAAATCTCATTGAGGTTACAAATTAAGATATTTGTTGCAAGTCCTGGTGTTTTTCTCATTTAAATTTCTAATTTTTCATGTATGATGGTTTTTCTCTTTGTAAATACTTAATAACAACTTATTTTTTCTGGTATTTGCACTTAAAAGGGTTCTGCAGGCAGTGTGTAGGTTTCTGCTCAAATGTTCTTTGCACAGTTGATGGAGGAAGGAACTGGTCAGTTCAGCTGCAGTTTTACTTTGCTTAACCAGAGATCTTGAGTCCTATGCAAAGAAGGAGCAGCAACAGGGGAGATTGGAGGAAAAGGGGGAAAGTGCAAGCAAGATGTAGCTGTCACAGAGATCACATCATTCCTTTTGGGTTGGTTGTGGTACCTGACTGCTGGCCTGGAAAGCCCTCCCCTTCTCTAACTGGCATAACTAATGCCACTGGGATCCAGCTGTGCAAGTACCTCATCTACCTGGCATGCTGTCTGTACCAACTGTAAAAGGAACTGAGTGCCTCAGTTACACTTCATCATGAGAACCCAGCGTCTGGTGAATTGATTAGGTTAATGAAAGGTGGTCTGGACACCACTTTTCCCATAGCCCCCCTGCCCTCCAAATGTTCTCAGCATCAGGAGCCAGTGGTGCTGGAGTTCTGCTGAGGACGAAAGGGAGCCTCTCCCCTAAGCTCCTATTCCCTAAGCACACTTTCCCTTTGCATGAGGTAACCTGTGGGTTGGACATCTCTCACTTGACTCAGTCTTCCCTACAAACAGAGTATAAAAATTCCTTTAACTTTCTGCCAGGAAGAAAACTTAGTTTCCAGCACTGGAATAGATTTTGCTAAAGATTATCATATGCTTTTGCTCTTTTTAAAGGAGATTTGAAAGGGAAGAAGAGGTAAATGTGTAAAGTTCAGAATACCGTGTGAACTGACTGTTCACAGTTTGTTTAAAAACAAAACTCAAATATGCAAAGAAATATATCAGCAATTTTTTATTTTAGTTATTTGATTGTTGGTAAAAATAATCTAATAGATCATTATAGACATTTATACTCAGACTGATACATATGTTCTATTTAATTAACACCTGAGTGTTCTGACAACTATGATGTTCCATGAATGACAGATACAGGAGCTAACCATTCTATGTGTAAATAATTACTCCAAAAATTATAACAATATCCCAGTTATAGAGTGAGTGAGTCTTTAAATGTGTCTCTCTTTGGGACAGAATCATTTTCTTCATGAAAAATCATCAGCAAAATTGGTAATTTATAGTCTTGTCAATATGAAAATATTATTTCTAGTTGCAGATTAGCTTACAGGAGAAGTTAAATACCATGTGATTTTCTCAACAAAAAACAAATACATTTTACTTTTCTTTGATAATATGAATATTGAACATAATTATAAAGAACACTGAATTTGTTCATTTTTAACTTTTATGAATATGTAGTATTTGCAAAATAATTAGTTGTTACAAATGAAATAAATTGTAACTAGATTTAATTAAAAAGTATATAAGTTTATATTAAAATTACTTTTTAAAGGTTTTAATTAATTTTGCTATACAAATTGAAAATAAAGCAAAGACTGTAATTCAAAGCAATTCATCATAGGAATTTATATTTGAATATAAAAATGTCTATATCCTTTCTCCACAATACACAATGAAAAAGAAAATGTACAGAAAAAAATGTATAAAAAATTTATAAGCAAGTGATACAGAAAACAAGCTCTTTACTTTGAAAAGTAAAAATCATATAGGATCATATACCTGGAGCTTCAGGTATCACAGTGTAATTAACATATGCTATAATAAGTCATTTAAATAAAGAAAAAAAAATCCACTGTGTTTTTCTTTTACATAGTCCCAGTCAATATATGGACCTTAAATTTTCTGAGGAGACTTTCATTCATCCATTACCACACTCCTGATCTCTATTCACCTCTAGTGTTTTCAAAAAACATGAAGTCCTAGGTAAAAACAAAATAAAGAAATGAGTTTTCAGCAAGAAAACAGATCAGTTCTTGGATGAATAAATGCTAAGGGATCTGATGGAACAGAATAACCATACCTGCTAAACAAGAAAAACCTGTAATAGTAGATCTGGGGAAAACTGATAGCTTCAGCTTTCCATTTTAATGGCAGTTAAATCCTGTATTTCTATTCCCTTACTGATACCTGCATGAATTTAATTAATCCTCTGGTAATTTCTCTAAATTTCACTTTCTTCACACCCCCTTAGAATGTTTCTCTTTCAGTCTTTCTTCCTCAACTTTTTGAACTCCCTCTCTAGCAATATAACTTGTGTTGTGACCGGAGTTCCACGTACAATTTTTAGATTGTTTCAGGACAATGACAGCCATCTTAGAGTTAGACTAACATCTTAGAGTTTTTTGGCCCAGTTTCATGATTTCTTTTCCCAACTTGTCCACTGTGTTCCCCAGCTTGTCTTACTTACTCCATCAGTTTCTAGCCAGACCCTCTCCCCTACTGACTTCTGTCCAGTCCTATGAATTCTACCTCTCTCCCATCTATCATTATCCTGTATCCCTTTACCAAAAAATAATGGAATCCTTATCACCATTCACTTGCACTATTGCACTATTACAATTTTACCTCTCTTCAATCCATTTCTCCCACAGTCACCAGGACATAACTATTTTATTTATGCCTATCTGAAACTAATGAGTTAACTGAACAATTTTCAGTATTTTCCCAAGGTCTACAAGACGTTGCCCAACCTACCCCATAGGCATTTCCTAATAACCTCACCACTACCCCCAACCCCATTTTTCATCTATCCCAACACCCTAGACTACTCTCTCTCTTCTCTATACACATCATATCTTTGGTTGTGGTATATAAACCTTTGGTTAAATAGTTCCCTAAGGCTAAAGTTAATATTTTCTTTTCCTGCGAAATAAACATTTATTGAAAACACAATTTTTAAATAGAACTGTGGTTCTATTTAAAACTTTATATGGAAAATACTGACCCTACACCAAATTAGATAGAATAGCATAATAAAGTCCCCGTGACCACTCACCCAGCTTTAATAGTTATTAACATGAACTGTCTTGGTTCATCAATTACTCCATCCCCCATATCCACCTGCCCTCACACCTATTATTTAAAAGTAAATCTGTGATTCCATATCATTTTATACTGAAGTACTTCAGTACGTAGCCCATAAAGAATACGGACTGTTTTTATTTTTGTACAACCACAATAGCAACATCATATCTCTAAAAAAACCTTAATAATTCATTAATATCATCAAATAGCCAATGTCCAAATTTCCCAGAATGCCTTATGTCTTTTTATATTGATTTCTTCAAATCAGTATCCAAACATGTTCTGCAAACTACATTAAGCTGATGTCTATTTTTATTTTTATCCTTTTATTTCACTGATATTTATTTGTTGAAATAACTGGATCCCTTTTCTGTATTATTCTCTCGCTTTTTAGTTTTTTTTTTTCCTGATTGCATCTGCATGTCAGTGTTTAAAATATTAATCTAGTGGCTCCAAACCGTGCTTGCATATTGGAATCACATGACAGCTGGACACAGCTTAAAGACTTGGATCCACCTCCAGAGGCTTTGGTTTACTAGATCTGGGTACAGTCTTGGCATGGGGAGTGTGAAAGCTGCTGTGCAGCTAAGGCTGAAAACCACTGCTCTGTTCCAGGAGTCCTTGACATTGGCTGTGTATAGAATCATCGGGGGAACTACACAAACTTTTAATTCTGAGATTCTTAGTTTAACTGGGGTATGGCCAGATACAGTTTTTAAAAAAAAAATCTCCCTAGCTGTTTTAATATGAAGATAAGTTCAAAATCATTGCTCTATGCTATATATTTCCTACCAATTGGCAGTACCATATAAGGCTTGTTTGAATGTAGACTGTTACTACAGTTTATATTCTTGTATTAGATGATTTAATTTAATAACGCATTAGGAAATCTCGTTTCCCTGAGACTTATTCCACTTAAACACATCGGAAGGTTCAAACTCTTCTCCAAAGCACTACTTAGATTTTTTTTTAATTGCTGAAACCAGAGCCTCTCATTAATACATGAGATCCTTTTGTTACCATGTGAAACTGCATGGAACCTCCCAAGAGAAGCTAGTCACCTGTAAACCCAGAGTAGCAGGAGAAAATAGAATTTCAGAGGTAAGATTAAATGGGACTCCCTAAATAAACCTACACATTTAAGGTCATTTAGAAATGTAAAAATTACTGAATTATTTCTGAATGCTACTAGAGAAACCATCTATAATCCAGATTAGCAAGAACAGACTTACAATGAGGAAACAGGCACCAAGCATGACAGCTTTCATTTTCACATCAAGGTCTAAGGGGAACTGGATGCCAAAGTTATCGACGTCTGTAAATAACTCTCTCACAAGGCCAGTCCACTGTTTGGAAATCTTGCCAACCACATATTTATCATCAAGAGATTTAATCTAGATTGAGAAAAAAGACAGTCAAAGAAATCTGGAAAACTATTAATAAAACTACTTTTATAGTGGGAATAAAATGAAACAAATATTCTATTAAAATCATATGTCATTCATAACTATGAACATTATAATAATATATTAGATTCATATAGATACCTAAATCTATTTACAGATGCATTTAAAAAACTTTCTTTGCTACAGAGAACTAATATAAATTAAAGTAGTTTTATTGACATTTAACATTTTCTATGCTACATTAAGATAGACAGTAATAAATTAGTTGAACTGATCCAAAATATAATTTAAGCAGGAAAAGACACAACTATGAGATATTGCTTTGATGAAATTTCTAGAAGCCATCAAGTGGGTAGGAAATGAAAATCACATCTGAGTTCTGCTAAGACAAGCACAAAGAGTTTACAAAGGCTGAGTGAGGTGATGGGAGGCCCCATTGTCACACACTGTCAGTAGGAAAACGTGAAATGCCAGGAGCCTGGAAAAGAGGACTGGCAGTTCTGAGTGAAGGAAAGTAACCAGTAAGTGGGATGCCCCAGGTCAAAGGTTGGGGTCAGAGTGGACAACAGGAGAGGGTGGGTGACAACAAATGAGGAAGCACGTATGAAAGAAAAAATCTCCAAAGTAAATTTCTTCTAATTTTACAGTTCTGCCTGTGGAAAGCCAAAGGCCATGATAAAGAGTTGAACAGCTTATAGCCAGACAGATGCACCTCACCAAATGGGCACATACGGGCTGAAAGTAGCCCCCATTCACCAAAGTATGTTCAGGCAGGGTTGTGTGAACCCAGGAAGAGGAGCGTCCTTTTCAAATGTGCACAAGGTACCACATGTACTAGGAACAACCTTATGTTGGCAGTAACATAAATATGGGGAAACTAAAAACTGCTGACTCATTTTATTTGAGTGTGAGTAGTTAAGTTCTTTAAAAACCTGAATGAAACTTCTAATATGAACACTGTGATAGCATGGATTACTCTTCATCAAATATTCATTTCAATCCCCTCCCACTGTTAGCCCAGTATCCTTCCCTGCACATTGAAATTAGGCTTGGCCATGTGCCTTGTTTGACTGACAGAGTGTTAGTGGATGTGACATGAGCAGAGACCTTAAACAGGGCAGAGTGGTTTGGCCTTGGTCTTGCTCTCCAGGGATCAGCCACCAGAAAAGCATGATCCAGGCAGTTGCTGTTGCTACAGCTCCAGACTGAACATACCCGGAGCAGACCTGAGCCCAACTGGCAGCCAAAATCAGAGCTGTCTGGCTAAGCCTCAGTATATTCCCTAGACACAGTTAACATGCAGACCCATAAACATGAGAATAAATTCCTGTTTTCTTAAGCTACTGACCTTTAGGGTTATTTATAATGCCACTACTGTGGCAATATAGACTAATACAAATTCCCTATTGCACACCTTAGTGTTTTATCTACTAACAGCTGTCATCTAAGCATTTGAAGCTATTAATGAAACTTTCCATTTTATTTTTTAATTCATTTTTAATTTTTCAAAAAATTTTAAATGAAATATACAAAAGATAATTTATCAGCCAGTATAATCCTACCACTAGACTTAACCACATATTAACTTTTCCCCTTTTTGATTCTGATGGCAAGAAATTTAAAAATTCACCCAAACTTTATATAAGAAGTAGAATATATCTTTTTTTATTGGAAAGGAACAAAAAAGTGAATAAGGAACTACAACTGAAAACTCAATAGGACTAGAAAATTTTTAGCTAAATTCTAGGAAATATTTTAAAAACAGAAAACCTATATGTAATATACATATATATTATATATGTATATTACATATATATAATAAACTAATTTTAACTTCTGGAAATAATAAACTGGTATTATATTACTATTAAACTTATAAACCTATACATTTAATACAAATAATTGATAAAGGTATTCTAAAAGGAAATCTATAGGTTCCTATCTCAATACGTATATAAATGCAAAAAACCCAAATAGAACATTAACACATAGAACCAAGTATTAAAAAAATACTATAACAAAGTATAAAATATGATTCAAAGCATATGAGTGTATCCATAGGTACTAAAAAGGTATTTATTTATTTACCTACTAATTAAGCATATTTATAACATTTAGTATATGCATGGTATATAAAAGCTTTATAAATTTTAGGTAATTTCTTCCTCATAATATCTCTCTAGGCTATATACTATTATTATACACAAGTTTCATACGAAAAAACTACAGCTAAGAGAGGTATGTAATTTGTCCAAGTTCACAAAGATAAGAAGTCATGGGGATGGATTTCAAACCCAGGCATTCTTCTCCAGAATCTCTATTCATGACCATTATGATGCTGTGCTTTTTAGAAATTTAAGTATCAACTCAATAAAAATCTAGGTCAGGGCCAGCAAACAAAGGTCAGTGAGCCAAATCTAGCCTGCCCCAACTTAGTAAGAAGTTTTATTAGGACACAGTCACACCCAGTATTTATGTATTGTCTATGAACACATTCACGCTAAAATGGCAGACTTGAATATTTGTAACAATGACCATATGATCCAGAAGTCTAAAATGTTTTCTATCTTTTCTTTTTCTTTTTTTTTTAAAAAGCCTGATGATTCCTGCTCTAGGTAAAACAGGAATAGACAAATACTGTGAAAAATAGACAATATCTTTCTAAATTATTAAACATTTGCTGCTATTTCAATTGAATTATCAACTTGGTAGGTATATACAAAATTGGCAGTATTTTTCAGTTGTGCTGTAAGAAGTAGGCTGGAAAAGAAAATACGCTAATTGGAAAATTAGAATAGCTTGAATGATTTCATTTGCTATGTGATTTTATACCTAGATAAATCAAGTAAATATACATAGCAAAAATGCCTTCTAAACATAATACTAGAATCTAGTCACAAGACTGAATAAAAGGTAAACACTTAATAAAAGGTAAAATATTTCTCAATATTGACAATGAGTACCTAAAAATATAAATATTGCTGATCAATATGATAATGCCTATGAATTACTTAGGAAAAATTCAACAAAAGATAGTGATTCTATATGAAGAAATCTATATGATCTTATGAAGAATAAAAAATTAGATATAAATGAATTAACATATATAACACTTCTGGGATGAGACAAGTTTAGCATCATAAATATGTTAAGTTTTAAAAAAAATCATGAACACATTTAATACAATACCAATTGGTATTGTATTCTAACTTCTGAAAAATGTAATGAAATAATCTTAATGTTCACAGGAAAGGAAACATCTGACAGTATCAAGAAAATATGATAAAAATAATTAGTGACTATTTGGCTATGACTAGATCTAGGATATATCATTAAGTCACCATAATTGAATCATAAGGTGCTGCTGTAAGAACAGATAGTGATATCAGTGCAACAGAGGTAAGAATCTAGAAATAGATCCCATTACTTGTGGGAATTTAATGTACAGCATTTCAATTTAGCAAGAAATGAATGGTTTACTTAATAAATTGTGATCACACAGTTGTCTAGCCAACTGATCAAAGTACAAAAAGGTTAGATTTGTGTAAAGTATTTGAAAATCAGAGAACAGAGTTACAGAAACAGAGTAAAGTCTTCAACACACAAATTACATTTATAAACTGACAAGAAAAAAGTAAACAACCCAATAGAAAATACAGGCAATGGATATTAAAGGACAATTGAAAGAGCAAATACAAGTAGCCGGTAAACAGAGAAAAATGCTCATAATCCCTAACAGTCAGGGAATCACATATTAGAGATAACCTTCCCTACTCCTATTTGCTGATTTTAGATTTCCTATTTTAGTTTGCAGTTTTTCTGAGCTGAGTCTGGGTGTTATTTCTTTTTCTTACCAGAACTCCTTGCAATTTCTGAATCTGAGGATCCTTGGCACCAAGTCTGCAAGATTCTTACCCATGTATCTCTTTGAACATTATCTCAAAACATCCTCTGTCCTCTCTTTTTCTGTAATTCCTCTTTGGCATACACAACAGTAGTTTATTCTAGCTTCCATGTCCCTTCAAATTTGTCTTCTTCCCACCTCCTCTTTATTTTCCTCACATGGGATTATCCAGTTCACTAATTCTGCCCTCACCTGTATCTAATTTGTAGCTCATCCTTTCAAATGAGGTTTTATCGGTGACTATTCCTCATTTTTGGAGGTCCTACTTGACTTGTTTTCATCCTCTTGTCCTCTATAACTTGTTTCATCTTTCCCTTATATCCTTTTTTACCCCCCCTTAGGCTCTTTAGTGTCTGTTTAGGTATTTCTTAGATGATTGATTGCAGACTGTTCTATTACATGCAGTTTGTTTCTGATGGATTAGTTTCTGGAGCAGTATGTAATTTTTGAGTCTACTTATGTGAAGACAGGCTTATTCTGTAGGAGTAGAGGGTGCCCTTGGTGATCAATCTCCTTCCAGTATGCTTTTGCATTCAATTCTCCCATCTGTATCACCACTCAACATCAAGATCTATATTTTGAGATTCATGAACCATAATGGTGGTATGAATTCAATCTTCAAACTCATTGAGAGGACTGGATTGGGATATCAGTTTCATGTAGGCATATTTTTTTCCTCCTACTGCAAGAAGACAGATTCCCTTATATCTATGGCATACAAAGTCTACTTGCCCTTCTTCTACTCACCTTGCGATAATCTTCTCATGGCTTTAACTACCATTAAGTATGCTGAAAACTCTGGCATTTTCCCTTACATGCCTAGAATCCACCATGACTCAGAAACAAATCATTAGCTTCCCACAAATCAACTGTTTCCTTTTCAAGATCCTTAATTTGGCCAATGGCATCATTATTCATTCAGGTTCTTAAACATCAGACATCAGACTAATGAGACATAAGACTCATCTGTAAATTTTCTTTCATTCTCCACTGGCATCCAATCTATGAAACGTTTCCACTCAGTACACTTAGGAAATGTTTCTGAGTTGTTTCTTCTTTTGGAATGGCTCTTGCTCCTTCATATTCAGGGTATTATCTCTTTTCTACTTCAGGTTTCCATGAAATTGACACCATAATGGGGTCCATGTTCCATAGTCGTCCCTCATACTGATAATTCCTGCTTTCAAAATTTCCATTATCTAGTCTACAGAAAGTGACTCAAAAGACTATTTTCTCAATTCCCTTAAAGGTGTTGCCTAGTTAGTACCATTCTAGATGCACAGGAGAGAAGTTAATTCATTGTACATAATGGATGCTTTAAGGCATCCTTTGGTATGCTGGATGATTTCTAACTTTCTTATCATTAAATATAAAAGTTTCACATTACAGTCTGACTTGCTTCGCCAGTATTTTCATTTATTTTATATAAATAAAATATGTACCAGCAAAACTTCCATTAATATTCCCTGAAAAAAACAATTACTTTTTCACTCCACTGGATCTTTTATGGGAATGATAACCCCTACATAGGGAACTATTATTACAATCCATAATCTTGTAAAATCTTTAAACATACATAGTTTATATCTACCCCCTACACACACACACGCACACACATACTCTGCATCCTTTATAAGAGTCTTTATAAAGTCTCCATTACATCGTAATGTGTTTTCTTAGAATTTCCTGTCTCCCTCATTAGACTCTGAAGCCATTGAGGAGTGATCATCTTTATATAAAAGAGGAATTGAAAATTATGACTACAGAAGCCAGGCAGATAATATAAAAGGATGAAGCTGGATAGTAGAAAACCTTGGGAAGTCAGGAGACTGTGGCAGAGTTCCTGCATCTTATTTCTCATAAAGGGGCAGCCCTGCTCAGCTTTAGATTTTTGTCCTTTCTATGAAAAGGATCCAGTTTAACAGATTTTATGCTTATAAAAGAGAATCATGATATTAAGATTAAGTCTTATAATCTGTTGAGTTTTAAGCATTTGCAACTAAATAATATGGGCTATAAGGTTGGGCCCCATTTGTTGAAAAATTGCTATGAAGAAATTCCTCCAGGTAATAAATACAAGGATAGATTGTGATTTCTGAGGAGTGAATTTAATACAAGGATAAAGGAGAGATCACAGAGAAGCATAAATGGGTAGTATATCTTACATTATTTTTGTTAAAATTCTCTTTGCATAATTGGGCATTTTGTAGGAACTCAAATATGAAGAGGGCCTAGAGCACTGGAAGCCTGCTGTGGTTCAGACTAAGGAGGGACCATAGGCTTTGGGAATCAGACTTAGGTGAGAAAGTTAACGTTCCATTTAAAATGGATAATATACATACAGGAACCAACATATTTAAATGTTAAATGGTTTGTTTATATTTATTTGACTACAAAGCTCTGTTTTTTTTTTCCATTTAGCATAGTCAACACTGATGTGTAATCAGACCAATAACCATCTCTCTGACCAAAGATAAGCATATGAGCACACTGAGTCCCTCTTGAGATACAAGGATGTACACATTTATTTAATATGTTTATAATGTCCTCCCAGTTTATATTATCCTTATATTAGGAAAGCAAGACCTATAAACATTATCACATCTCTTACCTCAAAATCAACATCTGCACAACAGCTGCAGACAATACATGGGCCAGTAATTTTCAGAACATCTTCTCTCCTCTCATTTTGAACTGTAAACTTTGGCAGGCATAGGTCCCAGGTCTGATTAACATAACCTATGGGTACACCAGGAGGAGCGTGGACTTCTATCTACAAAAGCAAAGGAATATAAAAATCATAATCACAACAATGTCTAATAAGAACTCTCATACTGAACACTTTCTAAGTGTCGGACACTGTTCTAAGGACCACATCCTTTATTCTTAATTTGTTTTTAATTCACACCACATCCCTACCAGGTTGGCACTATCATTCCTATTAATAGGAGAAATAACTGAGGAACAGATAGGTTAATTAACTTGTATCATATTCCCCAGCTGCAAAGTAGAAGAGATGAGACACAAACTTGGGGAGGCTGTGTGCACAGTCTACACTCTGAGCACTGCTCTACTGGCCTCATGTATTTCTAAATTTCCATACGAAAAATGTCTAAATTGCAAAGAGCTCTTTACCTAAGCTCCTTTAAAAACAGTAGTTTAGATGCATGGACAGAGCTCTGATCACTGGGGCAATTTTCAAATATGCGTGGCAGTGGTGCTGTGATGGAAAGAAATGGAGCCTGGAGTGTTGGTTCTGCTATATCGTTGGGCCACTTTGAGACCATTCCAGTATGTTTATCCTAAGGACCTCCCAGGACTGTTTATTAAGATCAATAATATAATATATGCTAATATGCTCTATAAATTGTAGAGAATATTCTGTCAAACGCTTAGTTTTTCCTCACTTATTCTTATGAATATTATTATATCTAAACTAAACGACATGGAAAACAAAACAATTCGGTATGAATAAGTTCAGTTTTCCTTTCGAAATAAGTACAGTATTAGACGTCAGATATCTATGTGCTTGCGTGTCTGTCCTGCCCTCACAGCTGCCCGTATGGATGGCTGAGTGACAGGCAGGACTGGGCTCAGGCCCGTGGGATCTAGGCAGAGGCCAATGTTCTGTAAGCACACTACCTGGCGTCTCCCCTGAGATCTATGTTCTTCATCAGGCTGTCAAGTAACATGAAAGAGACAGCTGGACCTCATGGAGCTGAAGGTACTCACAACTAGCATATCCCTATTACAGGGACTCAAATATGTTACTTTTTCCCAATGGAGAACTGAAAAACACAGGAGTTGAGATTTCTCAGGGGGCCTTCTCCTAGGTTTGCTCCTTGTAGGTTGGCTAAAATTGTGAGATGAACACATCTGTCCTTTTCCTCATTCTCCTGTCCACTTGCCTCTGGGATGGCATTCGAGGGTATCTCCATGGTGCCCTCCTCTGGCTTTGGCCAGGCCCTCATGGTCATTTTGGGAGAGGGACTTGACCGAGGTGCCGTACCTTCTTAGCTCTCCCTGAAGATCGAGGAGTCTGGTCTCTGAGATCTCTGATCTCACCCCCAGGAGGCGCCCTACTCAGGGACAGGGGGCTAACTGCTCATTCTTTTCCACCTGCCTTCCTTCCTGTACAGTTTACTCTCAGGTATAAATGAATAGCTTGTGGACTACTTTTCCTTTAGATCTCACTTTGATTATATAAATTCAACAAGAGGGTAAAATTCTTACAGAACTACTTTGCAAAGTACCCTGGTAATTGCTCACCAACCTCCTGCAGGCAGCAGGGGAAACAACAGCTGGTACACCTTAGTGGTCTCTCCAGAGTTATGACCTCTCGGCCCATGTTATCAAGAATCCTCATGGTAAAAGGCCTAGAAGGCCCACAGCAATTTCGGGTACAGCAATCAGTATCCTCTGCTGCAAAGTAAATCCTCTGTCCAAGGCTGTTCTTAATTTCATATTTGTTACTAGTTTCAAAACCTGTTAGGACTAAAAACATAAAAGAGGGAATCATTATGAGTAATTGTTAAAAGAATAAGGAATCTATCTTAAGATACTACAATATCTAATTATACCATTTTTAGATGATACTTCAATTAACACAGGAGAAAGAAAAGGAAAGGTTTTTAGAGATGATCTAAACAGAGAAAGAAAGGCAAAGGTAATGGAGGAGAGGGTATTAAGGGACTGAGAAATTAAGAGTATCCATGTGAGGCATGGACAAGAAGACAACTCATATTCCTAATTCC